TTTCTGCGGCACCTTCTTTGTTCTGCTGGGCCACACGTGCCGCCCGGGAACGGAGCCCTTTTTTGTTTTGCCCTAGGGGTGCGGGGGCCAGATAACATCTTGCTTTTGGTGGTTTTGTGGGTAACCATTTTTTCTATGTGGTGTTGTGTTATTTCCAAGTTTTACCTCAGTACAATTGTGACTCAGGCGGGCTTGTTTTCTTCGATTTCCCCCTGCACTGTTGTAAGGGAGTGGCTCAAGCAGTCTTACATTTTCCCTGCTGAGTTTTTAAAACCATCTCTGTGAGGGGGTCCCCCTGAGCCACCCCTGTTCCTTCGGGGGCTCTCCCTAAACCCCTCGCCCCTGTGAGGGATTCCCAATCCCTCTGAGGGCTCCCCCTATCCTTGTCGGGGATCTTCCCAAGCTTCCTTCTCCCTGTGAGGGATCTTTCCGAGCCTCCCCATCCCTGTGAGGGGTCCCCCCATCCCTGCAAGGGGTCTCCCTCAAGCCCCCTCCCCCCGGTGCTCACAGGCTGAAGAAAAGCTTCTCGTTTATTCCCAACACACAGGAAGCCACAGACAACACGAGGATGGTGGAGCTGAAGAAGACATGGACGCGCTTGTAGAGCGTTGGGAACCCAAGGGAAGCAGGAACGCTGCAAAACCCACTGCCCACTGAGGGAAGAGACAGTGAGGACGGAAAACTCGGGGAGCTTGTGGGTTTGGGAGGGCCAGGGTGGCCCCCACCCAGCAGGAGAAGAGCGGTGTGGTGCCCAGACCCAGCCAGCTGTGCAGCGAGTACATGCTGGGCGTCTCGTGGGAATTGTGGGAGTGGAACACGGCCACCAGCCCAGCACGATCAGGATGAATGCTCCCAACGCCAGGTGCCGTGCAGCACCTTCCAGGGAAGCTTGGGGCTGCTCCCAGTGTTGGGAATACGGTAAACCGGGGTGGCTGTGAGGGAAAAAGGTCAGGAAGGAGCTGTGCCAGGCTGGCCTTTACCTTCACTGGGCACCATGTCATCCGCACCAGGAACACTGGGGCCAGCTGCTGGCCTTATCAAGGAAGAGCTCTGTCATACAATATCAGGAACCCACCTCAGAATTCAGATGCCATCTCCAGAGTAGAATACATCTGGGAGCTGCTCCCATGCAAAAGGTGTCAGGACAGAAAGGTGTTTCTGGCCTTTACATCCCCTGGGAAGCCTAATATCTGCACCACCAACACTGGGGCTAGGTGCTGTCCTTCCCAAGGAAAAGACTGTGCCATACAACATCAGGAACTGACCTCTGAAACACAGATGCACCCTCCAAAATAGAATACATCCAGGGATTGCTCCAAAAGAAAAGGTGCCAGGACAGAAAGCTGTTGCTGGCCTTCACTTCCCCTGAGCAGCCAAAACACTAGGGCTGGGTACTTTTGTTCCACAGGAAAGGCAATGTTATTGTCTTCCAGTAGCCCACCTCTGAAATCTGGATATCACCTCCAAAACTGAGTTCTTTTGGGGATTGCTCCCACAAAAAATATGCCAGGACAGAAAGCTGTTGCTGGCCTTTACCTTCCCTGGACAGTCAATCGTCTGCATCACCAGCACTGGGGTGAGGTGTTGTACTTCCGAAATTAAATGTACAGCCACAGTTTTCAGGAACCCACCTCTGAAATTAGGATACTAGACCAAAACAGAGTAAGTCTGGGGATTGATCCCACACTAAAGGAGCCAGGACATAGAGCTGTTCCTGGCCTTTGCCTGCCCTGGCCACCATTTCATCTGCACCACAACACTGGGTATGGCACCTTTTCTTCTAAGGGTGAAGTAGCATCCTCACTGCCTGCAGGTGAGGGGGTGCTCAGGGGAGGTAAAGCTCAGTAACAGCTTTCTGTCCTGGCCTGTATTCAGTTCTGCAGGTGGTATCTGAATTTCAGATATGGGCTCCTCAGTACGTATAAAATTACCTTTCCTTGGAAAGTAAAGCACCTAGCTCCAGGGTTGGTGATGCAAATGAGAGGCTGCCCAGAGGTGATGAAAGGCAGGTGATGAATGGTACCTTTCTGTCCTGGTACCATTTTATGGGACCAGTCCCTGAATATATTCAGTATTTGAGCCTGGATCCAAATATGGGAGGTTGGCACCTGAAAATTATGGCAGTACATTTATTTTGGCAAGGCTAGTACCTAGTGCCAGTGTCATGGGGCAGATGGGAGGGTGCCCAGAGGAGGTAAATTCAGCAACACCTTTCTGTCCTGGAACCTTTTTCGTAGGAGCAATTCCCAAAACGGCTCAATTTCTGAAGTTCTATCAAATTTCAGAGGAGGGCTCTTGAAAGATGATACCGTGACTTTCCCTTGGGAAGCAAAGCATCCAACCAGTGTTCATTGTGCAGACGACAGGCTGCACTGGGGAGGAAAGGCTAGCACCAGCTTTCTCTCCTGGCACCTTTTGTGTGGGACCAATCCTGGGAACTATTCCATTCTATCCAATTTTCAGAGGTGGGCTATCCAATTTTCCAGTTTCCAGAGGTGGGCTCTCAGAAGGTGATAACATTACCTTCCCTTGAGAAGGAAAGCACCTACCCCAGGGCTGCTGGTGCACATAATAGGGTACCAAGGGGAGGTAAAGGCCAGCAAAACCTGGGTACATTTTTTAAATCAGAGCAATGCCCAGATGTATTCAATTTTGGAGCCTGGATCCGAATTTCAAAGCCATAATGGGAGGGAAATAAAATCACAGAGGTCGAGGCAGAACCAGGCATCGGGAATGTCGCAGAGGTTCAGCTCCAGTGTGGTGACAGAAGAGGGGATGCTCTCGTAAGGGACGTGGCGGAGGTCTGTCTCGGTGAGGCACAGGCGATGGAGCTGGGGACAGTGCTTGCGGAGGGCAGCCAGCAGTGCCGGGGAGAGGAGCCGCTGCTTGCCGAGGGAGCGGGGCGTGCCCCGCATCCGCAGGGTGCACAGGCTGTCAGGGAGGCGGTGGCGGACCAGGTGCCACAGGGTGCGGCGGGTGATCTGCGGGGGGAAAGGGCCTGGCTGCAGGGGGTGGGCAGGGAGAGGGGCACCCCTGCCCGAGGGGGGTGATCCCCCCGTTCCCCTCAGCTCTGCCCGCGGGGGTGAATCCCCCGTTCCCCTCAGCTCCTGCCCGCGGGGGTGATCCCCCCGTTCCCCTCAGCTCCTGCCCGCGGGGGTGATCCCCCCGTTCCCCTCAGCTCCTGCCCGCAGGTACCGGGAGGGCCCGGGGGCTCCGCTGGGCTCGGGGACCTCCCCGTCTGACCCTCTTCGTTACCGGCAGCCCCCCCGGTGCCTCTTCTCCGCGTTAAGCCCCGTGTCTCATCCGATCTGCCTCGCCCCACCATGCCTCTTGTCCCCGAGTCCCCGCTCGGTGCCTCTTGTCCCCCATCACCACCCGCTGCTACTTTGCTTCTCGCCCGTACTCCCGATGTGTAATCGCCGGGCTCGCCTCGTACCCCCCTTCTCCTCCCCCGTCAACCTCTCTCATCTCTCAGGCAGCGATCAACCCTGTGCGCTTCTTTTCTGACACTTCCCCATTCGTTTGGATTAAAAAAGGGGTAAATGCTTAGGTTTCTGAGGGCGTTTCCTCCCAAGTGTGAAAACAAACAGGCCTGGAAGATAGGAAATGGTTTGGAAACGAACACTGAAGGCACGAGCAGATGTGCTTGTCTGAGACAATAAAATGGATTTGGGTCCAATAAAGCACCTGAGTATGACTATTAAATACACACGTGTATGAAATTGTGGTACATGAACATATGGTGTGTGATGAGGCAAAGCAACAGCTTTGTGATTAATGGTCACTCCCTGCAGTGATTGATAACCTAAATTTCGTGGTTTCTCTGAGTTTTCTATTCACATTGGGGGCTGTGGACTTGTGCTCCTTTCATGATGCCAAGAGCTGTTTCATGCCCTGGCTTTGCTGAAGGTTTAGCTGTCTCTGTTGGTCATTTATCAGGTATATTTTAAAAAAGGTAGGCTTTGATGTCATGCTGTGCATATGGACAGCTGGAAGGTGGGGCTGGGGCTGCTCAAGTTAAAGGTCAGCAAAAGATGAAATGGAGATAACTGAGTAGAAACCCCCTGAATTTTGAAATCAGAAGGAATAAATGTGGAGAACAAGCCTCCAAGAGCATCAGTAGGTGTGTGAGGAAGGTGAGCAGAACCAGAACTGCTGATTGAAGACCCTTTCAGTCTTTTATTCCCCTAATTTGACTGTGGTTGTCAGATATTTACAGCTCCCCTGCTGCTTCCAAACCTAAAACACCCCACTTTGCACCATGTCAACTTGTAGTTGCTGCTCCCTGTTTAGCAGCTGGATGATGAAAAACTGGCAAGTTGGGACTGTGGGATATTAAATTCCATTATTGTGCCATCAGGATCACAAAGATCTTGCTGCAAAGACTGGGAAAACATTGAGGTTCTTGCCACATCTGACTATGCCTTGACTGTGCCTTACTGACAGATTTTTACTGTTTTTAGTTTTCCCTTTTCCTGTTGCACTGTCCCTCCCCATGCCCAGAGAGTGCAGGGACAGAGAGCATTGGAGGTTTTAATGAGGCTAATTCCACCACTGTTAATCTTTGTGTCTGGGATAAACACAGAGGGGTAGTTATTAAGCCAGCAGCCTTGGAATGCTTTCCAAAGCAGAGCTGGGGCATTCTACCATTGGATATTTGCCCTGAAGCTATTCTGAGTGGGTTTAGGAACAAAAAAGAGACCAGGGCACCAAGGCCAGGCAACAGCAATGAGGATTTCACCACAGGGAGGGTCACTGCCATCCAGGTCCATCTGAAACCCGACAGTTTATTGCATGACCTGCAGCTGAATGGAGAGCAGGGGGTGTTTGGGGTGAAAACAGGGCAGAAAAGCTTAGCTGAGGCATTAGTTCATCCTGCTCTGCTTCCTACAGAATGCTCCTGTTGCAAGGGAGGCTGTCCTAAGGGACAGAAGAGATGCAGAACCAAGTTAGAAAAAAACCAAGCCACCCTAAAAACAAACGTTGAAATTAAATTTAAAAGCTTGAATTTTTTTTTTTTAATAAATACGGTATTTGCTTAAAATATAGAATAAAATTACGAATAACAACATAATAACGTTTGGTCACTTCTCTGGTGTTAGGATATTGGGAGGGTGGGAAAGGGAAGAGAAAGAGAACACAGACAGTAAAAGGTGATGAGGAAACATGGATGTTCCCAGCAAAACCCAGAGGTAATAGCAGCCACAGCAATGCCCGTGGGCAAATGGAATGTCTGGCTCTCAGGACCAGGTGTTCAACCCCCAGCACCAAAATCTGTCTGGGGACTGACATGAAGATCTGAATTTGAAGGAAAGGGGAAGGAACTGGAAGTCATGAGTTTTTGGCTGCCAGATCTGTTTCTTTCAGTGGTAGGAGGGGAACCTCAATTTGCTCCTTGAATTCTGCCCTCGTTAAGCTGCTGCCTGATCCTCAGCAGTGGAGAAAGAGGAGAAGACAGAGTTTAAACTAGTTATCCCCCCAGCCAGTTTTTGGTCAGTGGGGTTCCCAAAGGCTCGATGTGCTTCCCATCTTTCCTATTCCTCCGATCCATGGAAAACAAGGAGGGAGAAACCCTACCAAAAATTTTGTAACAAACTTATTTACGTGACAAGCTTAACGTATTTACATGAAAAACTTAATGTTTTAAGGCCAATGAGAATTCTGTCTCAAAACTATGTAGAAGAAATCAGGCTTTATCCAAAAAAGGAGCACTTCAAGTGTAGTAAGGAAGGATAACATTTCAGGTTGTCAAGGAGTGTGAGATATGGCACAATGTGGAAAATTCTCCTGAATTTTACGGAGGACTTCATCCTCAAAGCAAGTTCCGCCTAATTTGAGGTGGTTCAGGCGAGGCAGCACTTGCAACAAAGCAATAACAGTACCAAGGGAGACCAAATCATAGAGGTCGAGGCACAGGGTCTCCAGGTGCTCCAGTGTTGCAATAGAAACCAGCCCCCTGTTTGTCAGGAAGTAGGCATTGCTGATTTCCAGGTAGCGGAGCTGCTTCATGTGGCGCCCAATGAACACCATGGCAGCATCACCGATGATGCAGTGGCGGAGGATCAGGCGTTCCAGCTCTTCCAGATGTGGAGCTGCTGCTTGGATCCCCATATCAGTGATGCGGTAGGTGCCACAAAGGCTCAGTGTCTTCAGGTGGTTCTGTGAGGAAATGTCAAGAAGATGATGGTCAGAAAAGGTGGGAATGCTGTGGATAGCAAGGTGTTGTACCTGTGGTGGTGGCACCAAAGGGGAGACGCAGAACCAGGCATCGGGAATGTCGCAGAGGTTCAGCTCCAGTGTGGTGACAGAAGAGGGGATGCTCTCGTAAGGGACGTGGCGGAGGTCTGTCTCGGTGAGGCACAGGCGATGGAGCTGGGGACAGTGCTCGCGGAGGGCAGCCAGCAGTGCCGGGGAGAGGAGCC